TGACAGCACGCACGCCCTGGGCTGCCTGCCCCTGTCCGCGGCCTGTGCTCCCAGACGCCCCTCCCCAGGGAGCTGCTCAGGCCCTTGTCCCTGGGGGCTTTTGGGAGACCCCGAAGACAAACAGGGCTCATGTGCTCGTGTCAGCTGAAGGCTGGTTCAAATACGCATTAAGCGCGTACACATGCTTGAAAAGCACTGCCGCCCGGTCAGCATCAGTCCGGATCCATCAGCCAGTTACGCGGCCAAAGGAAGTCAGGTGAGCACATAAAGAAAGAGCCAGCTCGTTCTGCCCTTCCTGTTCGGAGCGAGGCCTGCTGTGCCGTCTCCTGGCTTCACGACCAGGTTCTCCACTGTCCTGGGAAGGTCACTGGACCTCTGAGCCTCGTGTGGATCTGCAGAACGAGGTGGGACTCACCCCTCCGTCACAGGGCGAGGCGAGGGCACCCGCCCGGCCCCGCACGACAGGGACTGCGCTAGCAGACGGCCCTCCGCGTGAGCGATTGTAAGCGTTTCCGTTTCACAGTGGGAGTTCCCCACCAAGAAGGCCCCCCTCTTGCCATCAGACATGAGCTTCTATTTCTCCTACTTTGCTTTTTCGAAAAAATAATCAGGATACTAGAACTTGACTAAACCAAGAGGTCAGAGGACCTAACCTCCCCTTGGATCTTTGTTGAGTAACTTTAGGTCGCAACCTGTGCATTTTGAGCATGTTGTTTAGATTCACTGTTAGAATCTTTGGAGAACACTGAGAGCCTTTTTGTTTTAACCATCAGTCGGGTTCAGGCTGTTCCTTCCGTCCTGCCCACTGTGGGCCATGACTGGATGGCATTTCAGAAGTTCAGGCAATGACGGTGAGAAAGGGGTGGTGACGGCCAGAGTCACTTAGAAAGAGGGAACTGGGCTGGCTGCCCAGCCTCCTGGTCACCCCTTCCCGAGACCCGCGCCTTCTCCGAACTTCACCTCCGCCTCTGGGCTCTCGCTTCCCCTTTGGTGGCAGTGGGTGAGCAGAAAGTGTCCTGACCTGGCTGATGAGTGGTCTGTCCTGTGATGGTTCCCTGTCTCCTGTCTGACTTTCTCTGGCATCTGTGCTGCTGATGAGGTGAAGTAAGGGACGGCAGGCTTCACAGCACTAGAGCCCAGTGACTGGAACTCGGCTTATAAATCTGTCTCAGGTCACACTGAGGCAGGAGCCCCAGGCCACTCCACGCCCTGGACTTTGGGACCAGTGGAGAAGATGTCTGTAAATTTTTTCAGAAACTTTATTTCCATTTATTTACTCAGTTAGTAGTCGGTGTCTAACACTCAGAATTCTGTACCTCAGACAGTTCTCCAGGATTTTCTTATTTCTCTGTTTGTAGATGGACACAGTCGCCACAACCAGAGTTCTTGGGTGTGAATCCCCGCCCCCCCGTCTTGCCATCCGCGTGGCATCAATCTCTCTGGGGTTCAGTTTCCTCATCTATAAAATGAAGAGATAATAGTCCTCCCTCCATGGGTTTGTTGGAGGATGTCCTCACATCTTGAGTGCAGAACAGCATCATTCTTGGATTCTTGGATTTTAAAGCAACCGGAGGTGGGGGAGGGTGTGGCTCAGTGGGAGAGCGACTGCTTAGCATGACGAGATCCTGGGTTCAATCCCCAGTACCGCCATTGAAATAAATAAGTAAACCTAATCACGTCCTCCCCACCCCCCAAAATTTTTTTAAATGAATAAAGCAATCAGAGATGATGGAAAATAGCAGATAGTAGTCGTTTACAAGCAATATGATAGGTCTGCTCTTTCCTTTTATTCTGAGCTAGCCCACAAGCTGAAAGATTTTTCTGTTCCTTTTGTTCCATAAAATCGTTTTTCCCTCTTGCTTCGGGGGCAGGACCTGGTTTTCCTATTGGAGAGAACCAGTCGGGGACTTCTTTTTTCCTAGTCATTATGTTTATTAAGGATTTGCAAGGGTGGGGAGGAGTGGTTAGGAGTTAAGTTCTGAAAAAGAATGCAAAGAGACCAGTCTTTCTTATTTCTAAATTATGGCCTTTAAAAAATGTACTGAAACAATTTTTTTTTCCTTTGGGGTTTTAAGGGAGTGAGCACACGGCAGTGGGTCCTGGGTTTCAGCTCTCCTAGCAGACTTCCACAGTCCCACCGGTTTCTGAGGGTGGAGTGTACAGTGCAAAGGCCAGAATCCCTTCCCTGGGGACGAGGGTGAGTTGCACAAGGGACCCTCAGCCTGCTGGTGACCATCTTTCTGCTGCTGCCCCCCAGGCACAGCACAGAATCTTTCAGAGTGATTTGTGTGACTGCTCTGGCCCAGAGGTGATCAGTCTGGCTCTGAAGTTAAAAGTCGCCCTTGGGGTTCAAGGTGGAAATCCCAGGCTGGTCTCCAGCAGGTGTTTTCCGTGGGTTGATTTATCCCACGGTTATTGAGGGTGAACTTACATCCATAAAGTGTGCAGGTCTCAAGTGCTCACTCAGCACGACGATTTTCACACATGTCACCACCACCCAGATCCAGACACAGAACGTCTCCCCCTCCCACAGCCCCGCTTACTCCCAGTCCTGGCTTCTGTCGTCGCAGGCTGGTTCTTCCCACTCTTGAACTTGGCAAAGATGACGCTCATCCGTGTCCGGCTTCTTTGTCCTCTGAGACTCAGCCAGCCGTGTCTGGAGCTGCAGCGTGCTCTTCCAGGGAATGACTCTCCCATTGTCTGAACTCAATTTCCTGGATTCCACTGTGCGGATGTGTCCTGGCGCCCATGCCATTGGGAGGGGCCTTTGCGTTGTCTGCAGTTTGGGGCTATTATGAATAATGCTGCCACCAGCATTCACATGCGTTCCTGATGCACAACGGACGTGATGTTCGTCCCCCCTTGTTGGCCTCCTTTTAAACAGAGTGGTGATTACCAGGAATGCAGCTTCAGAATCTTTGTGTGGAGGGACCGGTCAATGTTTATGAACTTGAGCTCTAGAACGAAGAGACCATTTACTTTGAAAAGCAGTAGTGGGGAGGGTATAGCTCAGTGGTAGAGCATGTGCTTAGCATGCACAAGGTCCTGGGTTCAATCCCCAGAACCTCCATTAGTAAATAAATAAATAAATAAGCCTAATTACCTACCCCCAAAAAAACTATTAAAAAAAGATAAAGACAAAAAAGAATGAAAAGCAGCTTGGTTGGTTGTGCATCTTCAAGCAAACCATTACTATCTCCAAGCCTCAGTTTCCTCATCTGTAAAAAGGGCCTAATAGTAGTACTGTGCAAAAATAATAGAGTTGTTGTTAAGAATTAGATGAGATAATGAGCTAAAGCCCAGCCTGGCTGAGCACTGCGTGTTAATTGCTGTTACCGACTTTTCATCAGAATGACCATTTGGGGTGAAGTCAGAGACGCTCTAAGACTTTATATAAGTTTGTTAACACGACAGAACCAATGCAGACCAACTAATTTGTTTTAATCCCAGATGTGAACTGAAAATGTTCTGTTTTTTATCTTACTTAATAACCTCTTTTGCTTCAACCTTGAATGTCTGGAGTGATATAAACCCTGTATTTAAACAAAGAGATCTCCTGATGGGAGATGTGGAAGTGGAGGAACAAAGGAAACCTTGAGCCAGGAAAGTTGGCTGTCATGGGATCAGCACCAGCTCGCGGCATCAGTTTGAACTTTGGGTTGTGGGACAATTTTTTTGGTGTCTGTGTGCCTGGCTTAGATTTATCCTTGTCCCTGACCTTCTAATAATTGGGGATGATTTGGAGTCAATGTGATCTGATGCTGTGTCAGGAATTCCACAGGCCAGAGGGGGAGCTTGACCGTTCCCACGGATCTGTGGGCTTCCGACATGAAAGGACGTCAAATGTCAGATACTCCGTGTGGCTGTTACCCGGCTCACTTTGACGAGCGTGTGAAACATTTGAGACGGAAAAACTAATGTTGAGGAAGCTGAGAGCTTATCTTTGTGCAAACCATCTCCAGCCCAGACCTCCTCCAGGTTCAGGGTCCCAGTCGCTGTGCTGTCAGCCGTGTGAGCTACTCCCTGGGCAAAACCGTGCAGAGGAAGAGGGGACAGGAAGGCCTCCCGCACCTGGGGGCGCCTCCTCGCTCTGAGCAGAGACACGCTTCAGGACTTCTTCAATGTTTGTTTTGAAATCATTTCAGATGTAGACAAAAGTTGCAAAAAACGGTATGAAGAAACCATGTCTGCCCTTTACCCAGAGTCCCCAGTGTTAGTGCTTTGCCCAGCTTGCTTCGCCCCTTGTCTTTCTCTGTTTACACGCACACAGGAACATGCACGAACGCGCGAGTGCATACACACGCACACACACCTTTTTTTCTGGGCTACTTGCAGGCACTGTGTCCCTTTATCCCTAAATACTCAGTGTGAACTTCCTGAAAACAGGGCCATTGTGTTACAGAATTGCAATAAAATTAACACTGCTTCAGTGCGAACAGGATTACCTAACCTGCGGGCTTTATTCAAATCTCATCTAATATCCCACTCATGTCCTTTTTGGCAAATGAAATAAAGACTTATATTTGGTCCAGAATCCAATCCAAGATAGCATGTATGTTTAGTTGTCCCCCCGCCCCAGGAAATGTTTTAAGGGACCTGGATCCCTTGCTGTTAAAAAACCCTGCCTTTAACCTAGTTGCTTATCTGTCAGGTGAATCCTCAGTGGAAGGGCGAGGTCAAAAGAACGTCTTCGAGAATATTCAGCTGTGTTTACGGGTGTGGGGGTGTAGAAGTTGTTAAAAAAAATATGTTCCATTGTACTGATTGTGTGCAAGGGAGACTGGAACACTTCATTAGGGAATAGTCACTCTTCCTGGCTTTACAGAAAAAAAAAATGTTGGTGTGTGAGTTGGTGCTAAATTCGGTGGGTTGAGTGCGAAGTTGGGACATGTCTGCCCTCTAACCAGCGGGCGGGGTTGGAGGTGTCCTTTCCGAGAAAGCAGACCTTGCATTTCTCCTTTCTGCGGACCATGGTCACATAGCTGCGCTTCCTTTGGCAGATGTGGTGTTGGAGAAAGCCATGCACAAGTGCATCTTGAAGCCTCTGAAGGGCCACGTCGAGGCCATGCTGAAGGACTTCCACGTGGCTGACGGCTCATGGAAACAGCTCAAGGAGAACCTGCAGCTGGTGCGGCAGAGGAACCCCCAGGAGCTGGGCGTCTTCGCCCCCACCCCTGACTTGGTGGATGTGGAGAAAATCAAAGTCAAGTTCATGACCATGCAGAAGATGTATTCGCCAGAAAAGAAAGTCATGCTGCTGCTGCGGGTCTGCAAGCTCATCTACACCGTCATGGAGAACAACTCAGGTGAGGCGGGTCGGGCTTCCTGGCTCCCAGATGCTCACTTTCTGCCTCTACTCCTCTCCACCCGGGGGCTCACGAAAACACTGTGTACTCCGGCCTCTGGCAAATTAGTCAGCATGCAACAGAGTAATTGCACGAAGAAACTCAGCGCAGGAGGGCAATAGCAATGTTGTACGATGCCAATTTTAAGAAGATTTAGTCCCAGGGAGTAGGTACAGATTCAGTCTCTGGAGTCTGAGTTCCAGGCCAAGCTCTGTGCACGGGTTAGTTAAGTGTGGGACTTGGCCCCCTTCATCAACCTCCCCAGCTGCCGTTTCTGCACCTCTGGTGGGTATGACCCTGTCCTTCTTCAGTGCATGTGCATGAACATTAGTGCTTACTCTTGTCATTGGCCCATGAGGGTTTGTGTCAGTGATTTGTAGCATTTGTCAGAAACTTGGAGCGCTCGGCTATGACGTGGCTTCGTTGCAGCCATGTCATTGGCTGTGGCTTCTTGGCTACAAGCTGAAGCAATGTGATGGGAGTTCACGTACATTTCAGAGCAGGGAGTCAGCTCTTGGGTTTCCCCTGTGCTGCTTCTTGCAGAGGCAGGGGTTCCCATGATTCATGGGTAATGATCAGCCTTGCGATGTGCCGGGGCTCTGGTGAGCCTTTTTAATTCCGTACATGATTCCAACTTTTCCTCTGAAATTGCTTGATGGAGAAGCAACAGAGGGAAAACACAGGCTCTGTTAACCACTGCTGAAGTAGGTAGTCATGTGTGGGCACTTTGCAGATCATGGAACAGAGACATTAAGATGTGAGCTCTGAGTGGAGGTGGAGCTCAGGGGCAGAGCACGTGCTTAGCATGCAGGAAGTCCCAGGTTCAATCCTCAGTACCTCCATTTAAAAATAATAATAATAAATTGAGTTACCTCCCCTCCAGAAAAAGATTAAAAGAAATTAAAAACGAGAGAAAGACCTGAGCTCTTGGTCTGCTCATAATAGCAGATGAACATTGCCTCTGAGATGTGACACCTACTTCACATACAAGAGGTGCATTTTCTGTGGTTCACAAAGTCATTTGTGAAGTCTCCAAATTACGTCTGTACGGGACTGTGTCCTTCGGAAGCGCACTTTCTCAGCCTCAGCACTGGCGACATTAAAACCGGAGGATTCTTTGCGGTGGGGCTGTCCTGCCTCCCGTAGGAAGTTTATGGGCATCTGGATGCCGCGAGCACGCCCACCCTTCAGTCATGACAATGAAAAGTGTCTGCAGACAGTGCCAGACTCCCCGGGGGGCAAAGTCACCCCGAGCTGAGAATCTCTGTTATAATAGCAGCAAGGACCAGACATTTTTTGCCATATGTTCATTATATGCATCTATTCAACGCATGCTGAATTAACACATTTAAGTAAATTAAATGTGCGCTCACCTTGAAGACAGAGAAGGAACAGGTTATTTCTTGATTGAGTTTGGTCCTGTCATTGTTTATAATTAATTTTTAAATCTTGTTTTTTATTATTTCTTTGAGGGGGGAGGTGATTAGGGCTTGTTTGTTTGTTTTAGTGGACGTGCTGGGGATTGAACCCAGGACCCCATGCGTGCTAAGCACACGCTCTACCACTGAGCTATGGCCTCCCCGATCTGTTTATAATTAATTTGCACAGCAAACAGGACACAAAGGATCAACACAATAAGTAGACACTTTGCAAGTGTTTTATCACATCACTTGCTGAAAAGTTAAACTATTTAAAAGTACTCTTGTTCTATTGCACAAGTTGGTGCAATTCGCAAAAATGGGGAGAAAAATCTTCCCTGTGTTCATTGACTCAGGCATTCGTTCTGAAATTTTGAGTTAGGGTTGGTCCCTGCCAGGAGCAGTGTGGAGGGGCGTGGGACACAGGGAATTCCAGAAACACCCACCTCTGTTTATAAATAGCACATTTCCCCAGCATGACTCCTCGCTGTCTAATAAAAGCAGCAAGGAGGATATGAAAGAAAGATGGGTAGAAATCATCCCGTCTCCCCCTTCCCGCCCCCAGGGAGGATGTACGGAGCTGACGACTTTCTGCCGGTCCTGACCTACGTCATAGCTCAGTGCGACATGCTGGAGCTGGACGCCGAGGTTGAGTACATGATGGAGCTCCTGGACCCATCGCTGCTCCACGGGGAAGGTAACCGGCTCTCGGAGAAGCGGGAGGAGCTGGGTGCTTTCTGTCAGTTTCTTTTACATTTTCTTTTTTCTTTTTTAATTGAGGTGAAGTTTATATAACATAAACTTAACCATTTTAAAGTGAACAATTCAATAGCATTTAGTCCACTCACAGTTTCGAGCTACCTTCCGCCTCTGTTTAGTACCAAAACATTTTCATCCCCCCAAAGTAAAACCCCATGCCATTCAGCATCATGTGGGTGCTTTATTTTTTAACTGAACTATACTCGATTTATCTGGTGTACAGCACAGTGATTCAGTTACACACACATATATATTCCTTTTCATATTCTGTTTCATTATAGGTTACTACAAGATGTTGACTGTAGTTCCCTGAGCTGTACAGTGGGACCATGTTGTTTATCTGTTTTATGCACAGTAGTGTGTATCTGCTAATCCCCAGCTCCTAGTTTATTTCCTCCCCCTCTTGACATCTTAAGGGTTAATGGCCTTTTAATTTTATCCATTTATAAGAAGGTGCTGGCTTTCTTCTGATTACAAAAGCAAACCATATTCATTGTAGAAAATTTCGGGAAGTCAGAAAAACACACAAAAAATGTAACCCTGCCGTCATTATACTCTGCTGAGATTGGTTAATTGCAGTACAAAAACTACCATTCCACAGAATAAACTAAATGCCATTTTTAAAAAGAAATGCCTTCTTTGATTCCAAGAGGAAGCCGTAAACTCTCATTGGAGAGTATTTCCACTGCCAGAAGAATGGTGAAGGCCTGTCTTTTGTTTTCATCTTTATTTTTGACATTCGGTTTTCGAGATGAAAACAGCATTGATTTTCTTTTCTGTTTAAAAGGTATATCTGCCCGTCGTTCAAGTAACCCTGCCGTGGAGCAAGATCCGGGCAGGGTGCTTTCAGCTGATTGTTGGTCGGGTTTCCTTCCTGTGTCTGCCTGACCCCGACATGTCTTCACAGAGAATCCCCTCCTTACGCACCGGTTAGGAATTTTATCTCAGGAATCGCTGGGGTGTTTGTCACTGTGGTGCGCAGGCTTGAAGAGCAGAAATAACTGGGCTCTTGTGCGAGCTTGTCTCCTTCAAGGCGAAGAGATTGGAGCCATTGCCGCGTGCATCCTGACTGCCCCTGTCCGTGTGTCCCTGTCGGAGCCCAGATAGACCCCGAGTGGTGAATTGTTGCATAATTTATTTTTCTCCAGTGAGTTTTAGTCTGGGCTTGAGTAAAAAGGTCCACGGCAATGGGGTCCCCCCAGGGAATGCATCATCCTGGGATTTTCCCTGGAGGAAACTTCAATGCACTGTCACCCCTGGAGCGTGTCCCTTAGTTCCCTAGGTCCTCAGGGCTTGGCTCTCTTCCAGAGGATCGGTCCTCCCGGGCCCCGAGGTCTCCATTCCGCCCTGTAGGGAGGACACTGACTCGGAATCCTTGATGACTATCTTTCCATTCTGTGATTGAGCCTCTCCATCCTTTTACCTCTCTCCCGCCCCCACCCCTTTAATCTCCCTTCATTAATATTCACAACACTGGGGCCAGACCTTCTGGGCCCCTAGACCCTGCCTGGAAACCTCCCCCAGGTCCCCACCCCTGCCCTGGGACTTCAGGGGGCAGGGCAGGGAAGCACGGGGCTTTGTCCAGGAACCAAGAGGAGCGCACGTTCAACTCCGTGCTGCGGTCTTCCTTTCTCCCACTGCATTATTATTACCATTTTTTATGCATCTGAGGTTTTTTTGAGTTGCAATCATGTTTAATTCTAGTCAGAAGTAGGTTGACCTCTTGGGGCTTTGGGGAAAGTGCATGCCAGTTTCACTCAGAAAATTACTGCTCTGTTGCTGACAGCGTGTACTTGGGACAGACATATGCTTACATCATGTGGCCTGAGGATCGAGACGGCCACTTCCTGCCACCTCTTCCAGCCACCTCTTCCAGCGTTTCCCCAGAGTCCAGCACTGCCCTGGGCGTGATGGTGACAGATGGGCAGGTGGCTGTTGTCACGTCTGGGAATCAGAGAGAAAGCAAGGACCCGGGGGAGGGTAGAGCTCAGTGGTAGAGCCCACGCTTAGCGAGCACAAGGTCCTGGGTTCATCTCTGCTCCGCCGCCCTCCCAGCCTTGCAGCCTGCCTGCTGCCCAAAGCGCTCTTTGGTTTGCGGGACCGCAGCCCACGTCTGTTTTCTGCTGTTTAAGTGGGTAGTTTCATTTACGGAAAAGGCGTCATAGAAAACCTTTTACGTGCACAGCCCTTATGGCAGGGTTGTAGTTTTGCTGAAATTTAAACCTTCCCCTAATTACATCCACGTGTTTCAAAGTGTGGACAGTTTTGTGCTTCCAGCATTTTGAGTTTCCCCTTAGTGGCCTGAACTGTGAGCCATGGAGTCTAAAATTTGACGTCCAAAGGAAACAGCTGCCTCCCAGACTCGGCCGTCACTTTACCTCCAAATCCCCTCTCCAGTACTGACACCTCCACAAGCCTCTCTTGAATACTGAAGTCCACATCAAGTCCTCCTGAAATCCTCTGTGTAGCGTTTAAATTCCATACCGCTGAGTTTTCACATTTAATCATCTGATTTGCTCATGAGGCAAATATTTAGTACAAAATCAGCTACTCAAAACTCTGTACTACATACAGTGGGGGCTGCCTTGGGAACTTACACCCAGGTGGTGGAGCCGGTAAACTGTTCAAATGACTCTTAACAAAAAGCCCAGGGGGTGGATATAGCTCAGTGTTGGAGTGCACGCTTAGCATGCATGAGATCCTGGGTTCAACCCCCAGTACCTCCATCAAAAAACAAAAGCCTGACATGTGATGTGTTCATGGAAAGTGCACCGCTCAGTAAAAACTAGCCCCCAGATTTCCACCAGGGACCTGGAAACCACAAAAGCATGTTTCTTTCTCGTGCGTCCAGTGCGATTCTCGGGGCAGGGGTGGAGGGCATTCGGGTTGTGGACAACTAGATGGTGGACAACTTCCCACCTTGAACGTTGTCACTTGTTGACCAGAGAGAGCTCTCTGGGGTCTTGCTTTGGCAGCTAAATTCTTTGGCCGTGAAAGTGATACTTGCACACAAAACTCATTAAACCATAATTAGCTTCTGGTCCCTGCATGAATAAACCACCAATGTTTGTTTGCTTTAATACATTTATAAACTTCGGTAGAGCAAAGACTCAGATTCTGCTTCTTTCAAACCCACCCCCTGCTCTGTACCTGGCTTCAGCTCACAGTAGAAATCCAGGAGGTATTTGGACAAAGAATGTCTCAGTTGACAACATGCTTTTGCCCAATTAGGGAATTTTTAATAAACATTTGGGGCGCCCCCTAGTGGTTCTCCAGTGTGGAGTTTACAAGTTCCACCTAAAAACGTGTACTTTTTATAGTTTAGGACTAAACTGTGAACACGTTTATATGCCTGGTCAGAGTGTTGTAAGTCTTGTAAACACTCCTCCAAACATAAGAAATCATTCCTAAATGCACTGTCAAAGGCTCACCACTTGCTTTTCCCTGTAAATTATTTTTTCCTAAGTGTCGTGTTAGTCCCCAGCCAAGGAAGGGGAGGGAGGAAATCAGGAGGGGGAAGTGATTTTGGAGACCCGCCAGTATTGTGAGCGCTTGCAGATTGTGTCCGTCTTTCAAAGTATATGGTTGACTTAAAATTGAGAAAATATTAGTCCCTAAAAGAAAAGCCTCAAAGCAAGTATTGCCGGGAGGCATGTGGACTCCTGTTCCTCAAAGAAAGGGTTCTGGCCTTGGAGCAATGGACCCCGCAGTCCTCCGCCACCTCCTCACCTCCGTCCGCCCCCAACACCCTGACCTTTTCTGGCAAAACATTTTCACAGTTGCACTTAAATAGTAGAGATGCTGTGTGCCTCGCCCACTGGAATGGAAGTTCCGTCAGTGAGAACAGGTGTGCCCAGCCCGGCCCCCAGGGCCCCCAGCGGTGGCGCAGGCCGGGGGCAGCCGTTCCTGGGGACGGATGCAGGAGTGGACGAATGGGGGGTGTGCCTCGGACACGCGCTTCTGTGGTCCCTCCAGGAGACGCGTGGGGAGAGACGGAGAAAAAGCAAGGCCTGGCTCCAACTCTGCTGTCCCCTAACTGTTGTCTCCAGAGGGTGAACCCCCAGCAAACTCACCCTCTGTGCCCTTTCCAGGAGGCTATTACTTGACGAGCACCTACGGGGCACTTTCTCTGATAAAGAATTTCCAAGAAGAACAAGCGGCAAGGCTGCTCAGCTCAGAGGCCAGGGACACCCTGAGGCAGTGGCACAAGCGGAGGACCACCAACCGGACCATCCCCTCGGTGGACGACTTTCAGGTATGTGGCCGGCGGTGGCCATGGGGTCCCACGCTGCGCCCTTGCCCTCAGGAAGCAGAGCAGGCTCCCGGCACCACGGGCCCCCTTGGTCGGATCATCCGGTGGAAAAGGGATGTTTTAAACCACCCTCTGATCTTGTGCTTTCACTTCTCTGTTTTCCTTAAATTAAAAAAAAAAACTGTGGATTTGGCCCAGGTTTTGCTGGGTTTCTCCCAGAACGTTCAGCGTGGATGCTGAGCAGACAGGAAGCCAACAGGAAGGATGCTCCGGGCACAGGGGCAGGTGGGGGACCGGCCGGGTGGAAACAGGCTCTCTGCACTCAGTCGGCGCATCTCCCCACGTCTTTCTGCGGAGTCCACATTCTCCTCCTGCCGACTTTCCCACGCTGCACTGGGAGCCACTGGGGACCTCGTGTTGGGTTGAACTGCGTGAAACTGGCTTTTCAGGAGGGGAGGGAAAGCCCACTGTCTGCGGTGTCTTGTGGTCCAGCCTAACGCGAGGGCCCTTTGGCATCATACAAAGCAGTCCGCCACGAATGCAGCGTGTGCTCCTGCGTCTACATATTTTAAATCTCCCTCCTGACCACTGGCTCAGGGTCTTCTGCTGTTCGCTTTCTTTCTCAAGCTGTGAATTAAGCCAGTGTCGGATCTCGTTCCCACCCTTAACCAGGGATTTCTCAGCCGGGCGCTACAAGGGACTGAAAGATCAGAACAGGGCTGAGCAGACTCCCTGCCTCTTGCATTGAATTAAAATACAGCAACCCAGTGCATACAGCTGTGCTCCCCACCGTCCAAATTCAGATCAGCCTCTTTCCCTGTGCTCAGAGTCCTGGTGTCCTGACACTGGAGGTCCCTGCAAGCCGGAGCCCAGGGCGGCTCCCCCGCTCGACCTTTCCTGGCATCTCATGTGCTCACCTGTGCCACCGTGTTTCCTCCTCTGACCTGTCCCTGCATCTCTCTTTCCACCTGCAGAACTACCTCCGGGTTGCATTCCAGGAGGTCAACAGTGGCTGCACAGGAAAGACCCTGCTGGTGAGGCCTTATGTCACCACTGAGGACGTGTGTCAGCTCTGTGCCGAGAAGTTCAAGGTGGGGGACCCCGAGGCATACAGCCTCTTCCTCTTCGTGGACGAAACATGGCAGCAGCTGGCAGAGGACACGTACCCTCAGAAAATCAAGGCTGAGCTGCACAGCCGACCACAGCCCCACGTCTTCCACTTTGTCTACAAGCGCGTCAGGAGAGACCCCTACGGCGTCATCTTCCGGAATGGGGAGGAAGAGCTCACCGCCTCCTAGGAGACACGCGGGATTTCCCAGCGGTGCATCCGAAAGGGGGTTGGGAACCTGGCCTTCTGACTGCCCCATGCTTGGGAAAGCCACCTCCTTGGGGAGCCCTCGGTTCAGTGACTAAGCCATTCACAGGCCGATTCGGCCAAGGGCACCTTTTGTCAGTCCCCCAAGCAGGGTAGTTGAGGTTCCTGAAACAGTAGGATCCGTCCTTCAGAGATGGAGAATTGCATTTGGCAGTTCAGGTGTCCCGAGATCACTGGCTGCCGACCCCAGCCGGGTTCCAGGTCGGCTCACGTGTGTGTGTGCGCGCACGGAATGGACACGTCCAGGGCAGGCGCTCCTCTGAGGGCAGCAGCAGGAGTTTGGGAGACCGTCCGACGCCGCACATCAGGGACTTCTCAGTTCTGTGGACACCTCTGTTCTTTCCTTTTTCCTTTTTTTTCTTTCTTTCTTTTTTTTTTTTTTACAAAGAGCCTTTGTGTTTTTATATATTTCATAGAAATTTTTATAGCAGTTGCAGGTAAACTGTCAGGGTTGGTTTTTAAAATATTTTTGTAACTTTAAGATATTCTATAATTATGCATGTGATTTTAACATTTAATATGCAAAAAAAAAGGAATCTCTTGCTGGATTTGAGAGTATTGTGTCTTTAAAGTCTCTCTCCTGTAACTGGATGTTGCAGTCACTTTGTGGGGAGAGATGGCTGGGTTTCTTAAAGCGCTGTATGGCTGACACTGGCCACCGAATGCCTTTGGAAATCTGACGTTCTGTTGTTACCTTGTTCACGCTTCATGGTGTTGCCCTGTTTTGTCTTTTAACCAAGTGGTGCTGAGGATCAGGAGAGAAATGAATGTAGAGAGAGGTCGAGAGGGAAATACAGACTAACAACGAACTAAGGCGTGGAGCCTGCTGGTCCAGGCTCCTGCAGGGAAGCGGGGCGAGGAGTAGAAGGAGCCACCTACGCTGAAGACACTGTAAAGACGCAGTGAGACCTGCAGAGTCTGTCCCGTGTTACTTGCTTCTGTAAGCAATTTTGAAAACCTCACGAGGGGAAAAAACATATAAGAGCAACACTTTTTTTGTTACCCTTTTCCACATAAATCAAAACTACCAGCATCCAGTATGAGAGAGAAGATAAACGAACCGGTCCACCGGAGCCTCCTGCAGGGAGAAAAAAAAAAAACTAACAGCATCAAATAATTTTGGGCAGAAACCAAGTCTTGTGTAATGTGACTTTCACTGAGTTAAAGAAACACCATTTGGAAAGGAGTTTGCAGATGCACCAAAAGGCACATTTATGTTGTAAGAACGTGCAGTGAAGTTAAATCTCTGTTTGGGGGCACACAAAGGATGAGAGCCTTGTACCAATGTAATGGGTGGAAGTCACACAGACACGTTCCTGTGCTGTGGAAGGATGCCCAGGCGTCTCATGCGGTTGGCTTTGTACCCTTGTACTTTTTAAAGCTTTTGCTGTACACCTGGAACCCTCAGCACGTACCGTGCTGTTCTTCCTTTTGTAAATGATTTTTTAAATGGAATTTTGCACATAATACAGTGTAATACCGTACGATAATCATGTGTGAAAATAATTCTTGAAACCTTCTTACGTTGTCTTTTTCTTTTGAGAAGCAGGATGTAATTACGCTCCGCAGAACATTACGTAAACCCAAGAGCCAGGCCAGGGTTTGTGGTTAGGGGGTCCAAAGACAGAAGACAGAAAAGTTTATGTTTTTCAGCTAGCCCCCGTTCGGGCAAGAGGCCAGAATCAAAGAGCAGGAGGGAAAGATCGCATTCTGCCCTGAAAGGATTTCCAGTGTTGTCTAGGACGGCCCTTGTCTTGGCTGGACCTAGAGAAAATCACAATTAATCAGAAGGGCCCTGCAGACAGCCCCGCCCTGGTCTTATGTAACCTCTGAAGTGCCCCGGCTGAGAGCTCAGGGCTGTTTCAAAATCAAAACGGCGGAGGCTGCCTTCTTTCTGGTGCTCAGAGCCTTGGGCGGCAGATCGCAGCTGCTTGGTGGGCCCCTGTCGACTGAACGAACTTTCTAATCCATCAGTGGGGTGGATGCTTAGTGATCGGAACTATAGCCGGCTGGACTGCCTGCTTTTTAATATGTACAATGAGTTCAAAGTGACAATTCAGTCCCTGTAGTTATCCGCCCACTTTCCAAGTTAAGGTCATCACCCTGTCCTGTCCTTAGAAGTCAGTACACTGCTGATTCCCAGCAGGGCACAGCATCTGACAGGGGGCAGCCTGGGTCACCTTCAGGGGAATCAGAACAGGACAAGGTAGTGTGAGCAGAAGGGGACATCACAAGACGGGCCCTGGTTTTGTCCTGGGGCGACGTTTCCAGGCTGGAGTTTCAGCACAGCATGTGCCTTCACTTTTTCCCCCACGCAGACATTTCTCACTTCTCAAATTGCCAGGAAACAGATTTTGGTGCAGTTTGGGAGGAGAATAAAAATACACATGCCGGGTGGAGAGAGCGGAAAATGTATTTCCAAATCTAAAAATATGTTGCGAAAGTTGAATGCCGGCCAGAGGAAAGGAGTTTTTTTTTTTTTTTTTAACGTTATAGACACTGCCAAACAGCCTCCTTGGGGACACAGAACAGAAATAGAAACTGTTCGAGGAGTTCAGTGTCACGTGGAAGTTACGACGTTAGATCTGTAAGAAAACACTCGAGGCGGGAAAGCCGAGCGTGGACGCCTTCGCTCACAAGCGCGGCTCCACATCTGCTGGCAGCTCTCAGCTCCGCCTCCAGGAGGCCGGAGCTGGGGGAGGGCCCTGATCATCAGCAGCCCTGCCTGCTGCCTCCCTGGGAGCCGGAGCCGAACGGTGAGGTCCTTGAGGCACAGGTGGTGTAGTTGCCTGCAGTGTCTGATGCTAAAATCCTAAAAATCATCATCTTTCAGGCCATATGCAGGATGGTGAACTTGAGACCAAACGTGTTGTGGGTCATCTAGTTACCCCCGATCAAGCTGGAAATAGGGGGAAATTCATGCGACACTCCGGAGTCGTAAGCAGGCGCGAAGGAAAACGGAAGCCATGGAAGGAGGAAGATGTTTGGCGGAATAAGTTCTTATTTGAAACAGATGATCCCCTTCCACATCAGAGGGTGAGCGACAGTTGGCAGAAGCTTTTCCCACAGGAACAGTGACTGTCAGGAGTGTATGCGTGGGAAGTTAAAAAAAGTTATTCCAAGGATTCTGGGCCAATTGGTTTAATAAGGTGGTAATCAGGGTCTGTCCTCAGACCCCCGCCCAACAGGACCATCTCCGGGGGCAGCTTGGATCAAAGCGAGGCAGTGGGGTGTCTTGTCTCCAGGCTTAGAAACTAACATTCCAGCGTGGAATTTGCCTGAATTCTGAAATTCTGTCCACCAGAGACAGAACTTAGAATTTCATCCTGTGAATGAATCTGAGTATTTCCTCCGAGCAAACGCAGGTGCACTGTCGCAGCCCTGGGAAGGGGGCTCAGGGCCCTGGAGAGGGAAGAGGCAATACTGGACTCAGCTCAGGGCTGTGGTTTTCTCCGGGTCTGCAGCTCCCAGCCCCCGCAGCCCTGGAGGAGGAGGCCCTGCCTTGGCGCCCTGGGGAAACATCACCTCGCACAACTGAAGGTATTTTCCCCTCATTTAGCTCCAGTCCTCCCTTCCTCCCACCCCACCCCCCACCGCCCTCGAATCTGGATGGCGACTGTTAGGTTTTAATGAGCTGAGCTCGGCTGGCTACAAGTCTTCTGGCCAAAAGGCGGGCTCTGACTGGCCGCCGCCTCCAACTGGAGACACCCGAGCCAGAACCAGGCCCCGTGCCCGACACTGCCCGCCCACCTTGTCTGTCCCCCCCGCCCTGTCCTCTGTCCCCAGGCCTGGGTGTTCCTGGTCCGATTCGGGTCATGTTCTCAGCTGTGTTCGTGCCCAGAATCCGCACTTGGGGCCTCGGCTGCCACTTGTACTAAAACTTCCAAGATGCTGCTGTGAAATCGGGGCTGAGAAATACCAGGAGAGATCGAGACGCAGGTCTGCAGACAGAAACACACCTGGGAGAGGTAAGACCTTGAGTACAGCCACTAACACCTAATTCAATAGAGGTTCCTTATCTTACTTGACTGATTTCAATGAAAGACACAGAAAATGTACTTGTAGCCTAGTGCTATTCCACGGACATAGGAAGCAAGCCACATAGATCATTTTAAATTTTCTAGTAGCCACATTAAAAAAAAAGGAAAAAGAAATGGGTGAAACCAAATGAGTGCTATATTATAATATTACTAATTACTAGTTATTTTATTTTAGTAATTGATTAGTAATATAATCATGGGGTAACCCCTGATACCCCAAATATAATGTCAACATTTAATCAATCTAAAATTATTAGCTGTATTTTACATTGTTTTGTTTTTTTACATTGTCTTCGAAATCATGTGTGTGCTGTGCCTTTGAGCACACCGCGTTTCCTACCGATACATAATCACACGCAGGACAGACATGCATCACCCATGAACTGAAAGAATGAAAAAACTGCAAAGAACAGTAAACTGCCAAAGGCTTTACCCAGTCAAAAGTAAATCCATGCGTCCTAGCTAGGACTTTGGAAAGCTCCTGCTTTTTACAAGCACATGGAAACGAGTGGGAAGCCCCATGAAAGGACCGGCAGGACCCCCAGGCAGGGGCACTGCTTTCTCCCAGGTGCCATCCGGTTCCCTGGCCTGGCGGCGTTATCTTGCTTATTCTGCTTGTGTAAAAGGGCTTGCTTCTAGGAGAACGGAACTTACCCCTAAGATTCTATTGGTTCCCAGAGCTCACTCCTGATAGGTCCATTTGTAACACCTTATTTGCATATGACACGAACCTAGCTCACTCCTGATTGGTCCATTTCTTACACCCACTCTGTATATGATGTTGCAAAATCTTGACTAGTAGCCTATGAAAGTCTGTGTAAACCTATAGACGGGGTCCAGAGCTTAGAAGTGTTAACACCTCTGGGCCCGCCAGCATAGTAAACCTGAGTTCTCCAGCCCTCCGAGTGTCGGTTGGTCTCTTGCCAGGATCCAGGTTGCTGTAGCTCTTTGCTGTAACAGAAATACAATACTCGGCAAATTGCACAAGCTCATTTGCTCAAAAAGCAAAATGATTTTGCTGCTGAAAATGCCATCCATGGACCAAGCATCACATCTCCTGGAAACTGGTCAGTCTGAGGCCCTTCCCAGACCTACTGACTCAGAACCTGCATTTAACAAGATCCCCAGGTGATCCACGTGCAAGTTACAGTTTGAGAAGTATTAGTTCCAGGCGTATTTGGGTCAAGGGCATTTGTGCAGCCGTTACAATTAAAGGTAGGCGTGCTGCTATTACAATTCTGGAAGAAAGGAGAAGAAAACAGCTTGTGATGCTTGGGGGAGGGGCGGGAGGCACAACCTCACTTAAAACCGCCTGCGTTATCACAAAAGGCTGAAAATGCAGATGTCAGGAAATGCGTGTTTACTTCAGGGTTTTTACATTACATTCTTGCTTTTATAGGGAAAGGAGACCTGAAAGGGTTGGGGTAAGACTCTGAAAATAGAGGTGGAGTTGAAGACAAAGTGAATGATTTTGCTGTCTTCTTTTACCTCCGATTCTGTGAGGGAAAACAGAAGCTGAGTCAGAAGGTCTTTTTCTGTCTGGGCCAGCTGTCTCACGTGTGCACGTATGTGAGTGCAGGGACGTCACCGTGTAGTCTGGGTGATTACTTAGTCACACTCCCTGCACGTGATGTAGGAAGTTTATGGGCTTTTTTATTTTTCTCCCTTGGACGGACAGCCAAGTTTCTCTTAAAAGCATTCCATTCCCTGAGAATCTATTACTTGTAGGACCATTTTGCTATTCAATTTTGAAAAACATGAAAGATAAATTTAATTAAAATGTATATGGTAGCCCTATTTTGCAGCCAACAGGCACATGAAAAGATGCTCAACATCGCTAATTATTAGAGAAATGCAAATCAGTACCACAAGGAGCCATCACCTCACACCAGTCAGAACGGCCATCGTCAAAAAGTCTACAGATAATAAACACTGGAGAGGGTGTGGAGAAAAAGGCACCCTCCTGCACTGCTGGTGGGAATGCAGTTTGGTGCAGCCACTACGGAGGACAGCAGAGGCTCTTTAAAAAACTGAAAATTGAGTTACCCTATGATCTAGCAATCCCACTCCTGAGCATATACCTGGAGAAAACTCTAATTCAAGAAGTTACATGCACCCCAATGTTCATAGCAGCACTATTTACAACAGCCAAAACATGGAGGCAACCTAAATGTCCATCAGCAGATGAGTGGATAAAGAAGTTGTGTGTATATTATATGTATATGTATTCCAATATATGTGTTCCATTGTGTACGATGGAATACTACTCAGCCATAGAAAAGAATAAAATAGTGCCACTTGCAGCAACATGAATGGACCTAGAGATGATCATACTGAGTGAAGTAAGTCAGACAGAGAAAGGCAAATATCATATGATATCACTTACATGTGGAATCTAAAAAATGACACAAATGAACTTATTTACTAAACAGAAACAGACTCACAGACAGAAAATAAACTTACAGTTACCAGAGGGGGAAGGGGCAGAGAGGGAGAAATTGGAGTTTGGGGTTAGAAGATACTAACTACTATATATAAAATAGATAAACAAGGTCCTACAGTAGAGCACAGGGAACTGTATTCAATAGCTTGTGATGGACTATAATGGGAAAAAAATGTATTTGGTGACCAAGGAGGGAACGGTTTAAAACGTCTTTGGGAAAGCGAGTGGCACAGGGAAGGGCGGGGACCCTGCAGAGCCCTTCCATTCCTCCAGGCAGTGATTCCAGAAAGTCCTGAGGCCGCCTGTGCCTTTCTCTGTGACCTTGGTTCATGCATCTGATCTGGCCTTTTTTTTTGCTGGGGTGGGGATTTGTTTTTACAAAATAAGCACAACACATAGTTTACAAAGTCAAGTATCTGAAGCAGCGATTCCTGTCCCCTCCCCCAGCCCCATTTCTGAAGCCTCCTCCCCTAAACAACTTCTCCAGCTCTGCCTTCCATGATTTATCTCTGTATTTCTAAAAGCACTCTTATACTGATGTTTATTGATTTCTTTTCCAATATTAGGCATTATTACTGAGTCCATATTATGGAAGGTGAGGATTTAAACTCCATATACTGTATTCTCTCCTCACCACATACCCATTCACATGCAATTTTTCTTCTCCAGTCTCCCCTGATAATTATATAACACTTTAGATAAATTCATGTTTTTTGTAATTATGACTGTGTAAATATTGTTCAGAGTTAAACTACAATGCAACTGTATTTCCTTTTTGTACAACTTTTTGTTTTTCTTGGAGTTAATAATTGCTTCCTTTTTTCTGGTTTGTTTGCTTTTAATGGACCTATGACTAATTCATCCTCAACCTCTATTCTGCAGCTGAGGAAGTCCTTTCAATATGACCTCATAATTCAGAATAATCTATCATTTCCTTTTTTTCTTTTTTCCCCCATTGAGCTGTCCTTCCCATTGGTGGCCAGGACTGCTACACAGCTGTCATCCTGGGAGTTCTCGCTACCATCCCCCAGAGCCAAATGTCCTGTATCCTATTTCCTGGATTCTTTTTGGAGAGAGGCAGACTTGAGGTTTGTTCCCCCATCTCCTTCCTTGTCTACCTCACAAATAAACCTCCTCTCTGCTGCAAACCTCGGCATCTCAGCGTTTGTCCTGCTTCACGTCAGGCAAGCAAACCTGGAGCAGGAACAAACCTACTAGATTGAGCTCCTATTTTTTTTTCAAGCTTTAATTCCTATTTCCTATCTCTTTGTCTTTTCCTTATACTTTCTGGGGCATTGGCTCAATTATTGAATTTTTTTATTTATAATAACGCATTTGCAATTTCCAAAAATTCTTTATTTCTGAATGTGATGTTTGTAATATTTAGTTCTTTTTTTCCAATTTCTTATCTCTCTGTGGATATTAGTTCTAGCATTATCTTTTAAAAATTTTTTAAAAAATTCTCTGTTCATCCCAGTTCTCTTTTCCTGTTTGTTTTATTCTGACCTTTGGGTTAGAGGCTCTAATCAAATGTTCTGTGGCTTTTAACTAGTCATAATTAAGTGTAAAGCACCACAAAGCTTGTTGGAAGCTGCATGTATTGGGCAGTTTGTAAACTGGTGGTCCTCCCTTTAGGGTGTCCATGTGGCAACATGGTCATTTTATTGAAGGGCCGGGAAAATCTGTGAATATCTGTTGGCTTTTTCTCTTGGGACAGGAGGCTGCCCCATGAAAAGTTCTCCAATATCCTGCAGGTTTCAGGGTGGGCTTCAATCTAGCTGCCAGCATTCTGGGAACTGCGGAGGGCAGGGGTCTGGGGGGGGTCTGTCTTTCTGTATGCCTGCTCTTATGTGACCCCAGTTTCCACACAGTGTCTCACCCTCACCCTTTGCTGCCTGAAGTCAGGGACACAGCTTACCATGCCTCTCCGGGGAGTAAGGCTGGCCTGCTCTCCCTGCGGCCGGGCCTGGCTTGTCTGAACCCTGAGCCTCACCGGATTCTGCACCAGAATCTCTCACCTTCCCTTGGCTTTCCGTCCTAGAGTTGCTAACCTCTCGGCCTGCTGCTGCCTGCTCAGGGAGCTTACTGCATCCATGACTTGCTGTCAGGTCTCATTGGCTGTTGTCTCCTCCTCCATGCTCTTCGTTCTTATGGATTTACCCCTTAAAACCTTTTCAAAAAATTTTTTTCTTTAATTCTCATTTTAGTGAGGTGGTGGTGGGGAGCTTGTGTGTGCAGCCCAGCCCGCTGTGTTTAACTGAAAACTGTAGCCAGCTTTTAACACGAATGGTGAGAAGCTAGTCAACAAAACGAAAAATAACTGATTACATTGATGGCTGGAGTCATCTCTCCAGGACAGTTCTTCTATAAAAACGTCAACTTTTTATCTGAACGCAAGTACCCATGCAAGCTGTTTCACTGACAGGCACGTTCCCAAGGTGTTATCAGAACATATGTTCACTGTGCACGTTTGTCTTTTCCACGTGATCTGAAGGAAAAAGAGCAACAACGGATGGAAAGGCCAGCTGTCTGCGCGCTGGGATGTGGAATTGTGCCATGAGAGCGTGGGTCCGTACTGTTTACAGAAGAGCACATGGTGTTTTGTCTCAATGAGCAGGAAAATGTTTTGTGATAAAATGTGGTAAAAAGCTTGTAGGTTTTTTTCCCTGCTAAGCAGTAAATGGAAGTACACAATGTAAAATGATAAATGAAAAGCTCTATGAGTCATCTTTAGCGTGGGGAAAATGTGCAGCCAGGACAGTTAAAACGGTAAAAATAAGATTGAATGTGCTGAGACAGAAATCAATACAGCGCATCCTAGGACCCCGAGTAACCGTGGGGCCCTGAGGGGTTTAATGCAGTTTGTGCTTTTTAAATAAAGTTATTGAGGTGGTGGGTTCAATGATGTAAACTATGGTGTTCTATTTTTTTTTCAGGCTTATTGAGGTATAAGTTACATACAGTAAAATTCACTCTTTTCCGTGTACATTCTATGAATTTTGACAGATCATTCAGTAATGGGGCCACGATCACAATCAGTCGTGTAAAACTCTTAGCTCCCTTCTGCTCCCTGACCCCCGTGCCTGGCAACCCCTGATCTGTTTTCTGTTCCTGTAATTCTTCCCTTTCCAGAATGTCATGTAAATGGAATCACACAGCATACAGAATTTTGACTCTGGCTGAAATATTTGTGTACAGGTTTTTGTGTGAACGTAAGTTTTAATTTCTCCAGGATAAATGCCCAGGCGTGCAGCTGCTGGGTTCAGTGGTAGTTGCCTGTTTAGTTTTTAAAGAAACCACCAAACTGTTCTCCAGAGAGGCTGTACCATCGTATAGTCCCCCTGGCTGCCTGGGAGTGATTCAGCCGTGATGTTCTGTTTCTGTAAATTTCAGTGTTAAAGTGCTGAAATTGTCAGAGACTCACTGAGTTTAAAAGGTAGGTGCTGTTAAGGATGTTCTGTTTCTGGAAATGTTATGACTAGTCTCACTCCAATACAAAAACTAAGGCATCCGCAAAAGAGAAAACGAAAGGCATGCTGGCCTTACTCTTTTCCCCCAGAAACTTTACAAACAGCGGAAAACAATGGAATAATGATGTTTATGCAGTTGGGGGAGGGGTGGGAAGGGGAGAGAACACGGGATCCACGAATATTGGGCCAATATTCTAATCAGGCATCTCACAGACTAAGGAGCTCTGGGAACAAGGCACCAGCCCCCCGGGGCCCCTGGAAAACAAAGCAAAACAAAAATAAAACACTTTATAATGAAATCCAGCCAACCCGTAAATGAATCAAAATGAAGACTGGAATGAGACAATTGTAATCAAAAAATGGCAGTGAGCGTTACATCCACTCAATTACAGACATAAATCACAACTGCACAGTCGTAAAACAGGTGGATAGGTTAAGTTCTGAAAAGTAACAGTAATACAAGCAACAATCAAAAGCCAAGGACAGGGGAGACCAAGGAACGTCGTTAATTACAAAAATGCAAATGCCCTATGTGGAAATTTGTAATAAAAAATGATCTCACGACTTTTATTAAGATGTTGAAGACATGCCTGCTATATATGACGTAATATAATATGTACCTTAAGCTTTAAAGGAACCCTTTGGGTACCCACATTTCTTTGGTGCTCAGTAATCTATTCAGTTTTACTTCAGTTCATTTGGAAATGACCAAAAAAAAGAAAGAAAAGATGACTGGGTGTCCTGCCAGGAACATACCCTTCCAGGTTAACTCTGTAAGCTGCCAAAAATAGCTAGTAATAAAAATGATTCTTGCTCATGGAAATACAAATGCATCACGCGTGTCCAGGAGACGCAACAGATTACTGCTCTGTGAATACTGACCAGCTGTACATCTGCCTGTAAATGCATTCCTGACTGCCTTGTGCAGTGTAAGTTCTTTCGGCTGGCTGTAATGTCCTACTGGTGTTTTCGTAATTAATGAGTTAAAACCCTTGTCATATGTTCATTTCGTATTGTGTGAGAATCACAATTTTACCTTTTCTAAAAATCACCTTTTAGCATTCATTTAATGAGGTACATTAGGTTTTGCTGATAGGAAGTTGCCCCTGAAATCTCTCCTGTGTAAACACCTGGTAGGCAGGTGAGCTCATGAGGTCACAGTCTGCCCTCCTGGAGTGTTTGCAGAAACTGTGGACCTGAGTTTGTACCCTGGGGACTGTCACATGTGTTTACCTTCACATGCCTGTGCTGCTGGGGTTTTGGAAAGGATGCCTGGAGCTGAGCGTGGACCTTGAGGTCCTTCTTGGGGGCTACCTCCTCCCTCAGTGGTCCCCTGTCTCTCCTCCTACTGTGCCTGGGTCACAAGTCCGGGCAGGGGCTGCTGAGATTCCTGTCCAGGAACTGAGTCTAGGAAAACTAGGGCCCCGGGCAGTTAGAGATATGAGGGTCCTGGAATTTAGACGTCTTGAGGAGTTAGGTGGGTTGGCCTGGCCTCTGGAACCTGTTCCCCAGGACAGACTAATTGCTCAGAGGCTGAGGGCAGAGAACCTCCCAGAGCTGCAGGACATGCACATTTCTTAGCCTCTGGAACTGCACTGTCCAGTGTAGGGGCAGCCACTGCCCACGGGGCTGCCGACTACCAGACATGCGGCCAGTGCAACTGAAGAGTGGATTTTTTTTTAACTTATTTTTAAATTGAAGTACAGTCAGTTTACAATGTTGTGTGAATTTCTGGTCTATGAAGAACGGATTTTTAAACTTTATTTAACTAACTTAAATTTACATTTGAAAACTGATATTCCTTTTGGTTATTTGAAAACATAGCAGGGTTGGAACTGTTTGGGTATGCAAATACACTTTCTTACCGTACATTTAATAAAATCTGAATACAGAAGAAGAATTTCCGATGACAATTTAGGGTTGAAATATGCTGCGAATATAGAATACACACTAGATTTCAAAGACTTAGTCCAAATTAAAAAAAGGAAAACATTTCATTAATAATTTTTTCTATTGATTACATGTGAAATGACATTTTTGAAATAATATATGTATATAATTGCAGTTAATTTCACCTTTCTTTTTATGTTTTTAAACGGGATGCTGGAAAATCTGGGCTCACACGCACGGCTGGCATCACTCGGATGGGCCACTCTGGACCACGAATTCTCCCTCTCCTCTCCACTTCCTTCCTCACCTGCCCGGGGCACCAGGTGGTCCTGAATCCTGCTTTCCTGCTTTGGTTTTCTAACCCTGGCAGTTTCTTGCCTCCTTCCTGGGGGTCACACTGCCTCCTTTCCGGAGTCTCCCGCGAGGGGTTTTGAGGTTTGGAGAGGCAAAACCCCGACACTTTACAGGAGCTCCCGACTCTGGCCGCCAGAGGGAGCTGCGTCGCTGACGCCGTTGCCGAGCAACTCGTGGCCCGGAAGCAGTTCCCCGCTCCGCCCCGCCCCGCGGCAGCTGTGTACGCGGTGATTTCCGGCGGGGCGGGCGCGCAGTCGCGGCGAACCGGCTTCGGCGGCGGCGGAGCGATGACCACGCTCCGGGCTTTCACGTGCGACGACCTGTTCCGCTTCAACAACATGTGAGTGAGGCGCGCCCGAGCCGGCGCTCGTGGCCGCGCCCCCTGACCCGGGCCCCGCCGCCGCCCGCGCGTCCCC